GTGTGTAGAGTGGCAGTTCTCGTGGTCTATATACACGAGTGTGTAGAGTGGCAGTTCTCGTGGTCTATATACACGAGTGTGTAGAGTGGCAGTTCTCGTGGTCTATATACACGAGTGTGTAGAGTGGCAGTTCTCTTGGTGTATATACACGAGTGTGTAGAGTGGCAGTTCTCGTGGTCTATATACACGAGTGTGTAGAGTGGCAGTTCTCGTGGTCTATATACATGAGTGTGTAGAGTGGCAGTTCTCTTGGTCTATATATACGAGTGTGTAGAGTGGCAGTTCTCGTGGTCTATATACATGAGTGTGTAGAGTGGCAGTTCTCTTGGTCTTTATATACGAGTGTGTAGAGTGGCAGTTCTCGTGGTCTATATACACGAGTGTGTAGAGTGGCAGTTCTCTTGGTCTATATATACGAGTGTGTAGAGTGGCAGTTCTATTGGTCTATATACACGAGTGTGTAGAGTGGCAGTTCTTGTGGTCTATATACACGAGTGTGTAGAGTGGCAGTTCTATTGGTCTATATACACGAGTGTGTAGAGTGGCAGTTCTCGTGGTCTATATACACGAGTGTGTAGAGTGGCAGTTCTCGTGGTCTATATATACGAGTGTGTAGAGTGGCAGTTCTCGTGGTCTATATATACGAGTGTGTAGAGTGGCAGTTCTCTTGGACTCCTTCATAACCCATCACAATCACAATCTTGAAACAAGTATATTGACAAAAAAATACGATAGTTTTCCTTTAAGATGAAGTGCTATTGACTGCTATTAAAGGCTGTTGACAATATTAGAGATGCTGGAGTAATTTTTCTCAAATTTCAACGTCATGTATTATTGATCTGCCATTAGCCAGAATTAATCAAGGGAGTCGAGGACTTGTATACCGTCTAAATATTTCTCATGTTCTTGGAAGGACATAATTTGTAACAGCATTCGGGATGTTTTGCTTCACTGATCTGCGTGCCAGGAAATGTTTACTGAATGGTGTAACTGATTTCGCTGATTCTGTACTGGACTGACATGATCTCTACTGGATTGACATGATCTGTACTAGACTGATATCATCTGTACTGGACTGACATGATCTCTACTGGATTGACATGATCTGTACTAGACTGACATCATCTGTACTGGACTGACATGATCTCTACTGGATTGACATGATCTGTACTAGACTGATATCATCTGTACTAGACTGACATCATCTGTACTAGACTGACATCATCTGTACTAGACTGACATCATCTGTACTAGACTGACATCATCTGTACTAGACTGACATCATCTGTACTAGACTGACATCATCTGTACTAGACTGACATCATCTGTACTAGACTGACATCATCTGTACTAGACTGACATCATCTGTACTAGACTGACATCATCTGTACTAGACTGACATCATCTGTACTAGACTGACATCATCTGTACTAGACTGACATCATCTGTACTAGACTGACATCATCTGTACTAGACTGACATCATCTGTACTGGACTGACATGATCTCTACTGGATTGACATGATCTGTACTAGACTGACATCATCTGTACTAGACTGACATCATCTGTACTAGACTGATATCATCTGTACTGGACTGACATGATCTCTACTGGATTGACATGATCTGTACTAGACTGATATCATCTGTACTGGACTGACATGATCTCTACTGGATTGACATGATCTGTACTAGACTGATATCATCTGTACTAGACTGACATCATCTGTACTAGACTGACATCATCTGTACTAGACTGACATCATCTGTACTAGACTGACATCATCTGTACTAGACTGACATCATCTGTACTAGACTGACATCATCTGTACTAGACTGACATCATCTGTACTAGACTGACATCATCTGTACTAGACTGACATCATCTGTACTAGACTGACATCATCTGTACTAGACTGACATCATCTGTACTAGACTGACATCATCTGTACTAGACTGACATCATCTGTACTAGACTGACATCATCTGCCTTCGTATTTATAATAGTTTTCCAACAGAATTTTCTTTGTTTCTCGCTCTGTCTATATATCCGTCACTCTGTGTCTGTCACTGTGTCTGTCACTGTGTATGTCAGTGTGTCTGTCACTGTGTCTGTCACTGTGTCACTGTGTCTGTCACTGTGTATGTCAGTGTGTCTGTCACTGTGTCTGTCACTGTGTCACTGTGTCTGTCACTGTGTCACTGTGTCTGTCACTGTGTCTGTCACTGTGTCTGTCACTGTGTCTGTCACTGTGTCTGTCACTGTGTCTGTCACTGTGTCTGTCACTGTGTCTGTCACTGTGTCTGTCACTGTGTCTGTCACTGTGTATGTCACTGTGTCTGTCACTGTCTGTCACTGTGTATGTCACTGTGTCTGTCACTGTGTCACTGTGTCTGTCACTGTGTCTGTCACTGTGTCTGTCACTGTGTCTGTCACTGTGTCTGTCACTGTGTCTGTCACTGTGTCACTGTGTCTGTCACTGTGTCACTGTGTCTGTCACTGTGTCACTGTGTCTGTCACTGTGTCTGTCACTGTGTCACTGTGTCTGTCACTGTGTCTGTCACTGTGTCTGTCACTGTGTCACTGTGTCTGTCACTGTGTCTGTCACTGTTTCTGTCACTGTGTCTGTCACTGTGTCTGTCACTGTGTCTGCTACTGTGTCTGTCACTGTGTCTGTCACTGTATCTGTCACTGTGTCTGTCACTGTGTCTGTCACTGTGTCTGTCACTGTGTCTGTCACTGTGTATGTCACTGTGTCTGTCACTGTGTCTGTTACTGTGTCTGTCACTGTGTCTGTCACTGTGTATGTCACTGTGTCGCTCACTGTGTCTCACTGTGTCTGTCACTGCGTCTGTCACTGTGTCTGTCACTGTATCTGTCACTGTGTCTGTCACTGTGTCTGTCACTGTGTCTGTCACTGTGTCTGTCACTGTTTCTGTCACTGTGTCTGTCACTGTGTCTGTCACTGTGTCTGCTACTGTGTATGTCACTGTGTCGCTCACTGTGTCTGTCACTGTGTCTGTCACTGCGTCTGTCACTGTGTCTGTCACTGTATCTGTCACTGTGTCTGTCACTGTGTCTGTCACTGTGTCTGTCACTGTGTCTGTCACTGTGTCTGTCACTGTGTCTGTCACTGTGTCTGTCACTGTGTCTGTCACTGTGTCTGTCACTGTGTCTGTCACTGTGTCTGTCACTGTGTCTGTCACTGTTTCTGTCACTGTGTCTGTCACTGTGTCTGTCACTGTGTCTGCTACTGTGTCTGTCACTGTGTCTGTCACTGTATCTGTCACTGTGTCTGTCACTGTGTCTGTCACTGTTCTGTCTTGTCCACTGTGTCTGTCACTGTGTGTTTTCTGTCACTGTGTTGCCTGTACTGCGTGTCTGTCACTGTGTCTGTCACTGTTCTGTCACTGTGTATGTCACTGTGTCTGTCACGTGTAGGTCTGTCACTGTGTGTCATGTGTCACTGTGTCTGTCACTGTGTCTGCTACTGTGTCTGTCACTGTGTCTGTCACTGTACTTACTTCTGTCACTGTGTGTCTTGTCACTGTGTGTCCTGTCACTGTGTCTGTCACTGTGCGTCCTTGTTCACTTGTTGTCATGTCACTGTGTCTGTCACTGTGTCTGTATACTGTGTCACTGTGTCATCCACTGTGTCTGTCACTGTGTCTGTCACTGTATCTGTCACTGTGTCTGTCACTGTGTCTGTCACTGTGTCTGTCACTGTGTATGTCACTGTGTCTGTCACTGTGTCTGTTACTGTGTCTGTCACTGTGTATGTCACTGTGTCTGTCACTGTGTCTGTCACTCTGTCACTGTGTCTGTCAATGTGTCTGTCACTGTGTCTGTCACTGTGTCTGTCATTGTGTATGTCACTTTGTCTGTCACTCTGTGTCCGTCACTGTGTCTGTTACTGTGTCTGTCACTATGTCTGTCACTGTGTATGTCACTGTGTCTGTCTCTGTGCCTGTCACTGTGTCTATCACTGTGTCTGTCACTGTGTATGTCACTATGTCTGTCACTCTGTGTCCGTCACTGTGTCTGTTACTGTATCTGTCACTGTGTATGTCACTATGTCTGTCACTCTGTGTCCGTCACTGTGTCTGTTACTGTATCTGTCACTGTGTATGTCACTATGTCTGTCACTCTGTGTCCGTCACTGTGTCTGTTACTGTGTCTGTCACTGTGTCTGTTACTGTGCCTGTCACTATGTCTGTCACTGTGTATGTCACTGTGTCTGTCTCTGTGTCTATCACTGTGTCTGTCACTATGTCTATCACTGTGTCTGTCACTATGTCTGTCACTCTGTATGTCACTGTGTCCGTCACTGTGTATGTCACTGTGTCTGTCTCTGTGTCTGTCACTGTGTCTGTCACTATGTCTGTCACTGTGTATGTCACTGTGTCTGTCTCTGTGTCTATCACTGTGTATGTCACTATGCCCGTCACTGTGTATGTCACTATGTCTGTCACTGTGTATGTCACTGTGTCTGTTACTGTGTCTGTCACTATGTCTGTCACTGTGTATGTCACTGTATCTGTCACTGTGTCTGTCACTGTGTCTGTTACTGTGTCTGTCACTATGTCTGTCACTGTGTATGTCACTGTGTCTGTCTCTGTGTCTATCACTGTGTCTGTCACTATGTCTGTCACTGTGTCTGTCACTGTGTCTGTCACTATACCTGTCACTATGTCTGTCACTGTGTATGTCACTATGTCTGTCACTCCCTAATGTGTTATAGCACATAAGCAGCCTATGATTTAATACCAAGATTGTAATATGAACGAAACTGATCAGAGAGTTACTTATTTTAGTTTTCTCGAGTTATTTAGCTGTATCATTATCTTCTCATAAATTAAGACCGCTGAAGTTTCTCAGAGAAACAGCAAGTGTTTTAGAAATCCCAGAGAAGATATCTAAGCTTGCTAAAACATCACTGAAGGAATTAATCCAGGAATTATCCCAGCTCAATATCTTGTTTTCTGATGTGTGTGTGACAGGTACAAGGCGCTCATCCACCCGCTCAACACCCGCTGGACCAAGTCTCGATCTCGCCTGGTCATCGCAGTCATCTGGGTGTTCTCAGTCGTCATATCATTGGTGCCTCTGGTCGTGTCTGATTCAGAGCGCTTCGACTGGGATGGAGAGTAAGTAGTGCCCCCTCTTTGTTTTCTTCGTAAAGGCAGAGCAGTTAGATTACTGTGCATTCCGTGGTCGTACTATGAGGGGTAGTTTATCGTGCACACATATTCATCCTGCGAGTAGTAGGTCATTGTGCACCCTCAGCTCATCCTGTGAACGATAACGCAAAAGGACGGGATTACAGAGGTCACAGTTAGACTGTGAAATTTAGGGAGCATTGAAAAAATGCAATGTTTTGAGATGCAAGCTGCACTTTTCAGGCATTATTTGTCTGGTCACAACAAACTTATGTACAAAATTTCAGACCATTAAATGCCCAGTTACCTTGCAGCATTGCGATCGACTTTTCATCAAATTATACACCGTTGAAAGCAATTAGTTATAATTTATTGGTTGTCAGGATAATCAAGTGTACATGGTTTATATCATTTTTGGTTGTGAAGATTGTATAATCAAATGTACATGAGTTATATCAATCATCAACTATTTACTTGTAAACTATTACAAGTTATAAGTGAAGTCTTTCTTGGTGCGGAATTTGGGCATCACTTTCCTGGAAAATATTCTTTGCCTGATATATCCATCTCTTGCCTTCTGTCCAGTCACTTCAGTGCAAGCTTCAGTCATCAATTTTATCCCTCTCTCAACAGCTGGAGTGTTGTTTGGCCACTTGGGCACCTCCAGTGGAGTCTCAATAATTTTCAGAACCTGTTGATCTGATAGAGAAGCAACGAAAGGAGGTTCACTTTTGAGTTCAGGCTTCCAGTCAGTCATGGGATGATAGTTCTTTGCTTGCCACTTTAGTTTGGGAATCACTACTTTTCTTGATTTTACAATAGGTGCCACATTGTCATTCTCTTCATCTTCACTGTCATCCTCATCATCAGTGTAGATTAACAAGTCCTTCTCAGCAGCATCAGCAGAATCTTCTCCATCCTCATCAGAGCTCTCAATACTTTCTTCTGTCTACTGATTCTCTTCTCTAATTTTTCTTATTATTGAGACAGCTTTGTCTCTCACAGTCATGTCTTCATCAACACACATACCAAGAAGCAGCTGATCTGTGAGAGCAAGGTAGGAATTTCTTCACTGTTCAGACGTCTCGTAAATTGCAGTGACTGAAGACGTTCTTTGAACCGTGTGTAACATAAGGGTGCAGCTTGACGTGGAACCACATTGGAGCACTAAACTTTAAAATCATAATGACGACTCTCCTCAGCTCCTGACTGGGTCTTAATGTTGCCAGGTACAGCCTAAGGATCCTACTCCATAAAGTATCTCACCTTAACACACACGGTGGACCTGGTTCAAGATCAGCCAAGTCATCATCAACCACAACTGTGATCACTCCTTTGCAAATCCTATACAAGTATTTCTGGTCCCAAAACAGATCCTCTGCTACATTGTCAAACAGAGCAGGAAAATCAGTGAAACTGACTGAGTGGAAAGTAACAACTGTCAGCTCAGACAGAGGATCCTTGACTTGCTTGCCAATGGGACCTCTCCAATGCTCAGGACCATTTGGTTTACCGTTATAGTGTAGACAAATACAGGCCAGGTGGTATCCGTCACACTCCTTAATTTTGCTCCCTACATCTTGACAGGCGGCACCAGGACAGAAACAACTACGTATATCAAACAACTCGTTCATTTGTTTCTGAAATGTAGCTTTTTTGGAAACATTTTCGTTCTTATTATGTTCTATTCCTCTACTTTACAATTTTCTCAATAGTTTTCTGGCTGAGAATAGGAATAGTCTTTCTGTCCCCAATTGATTTTTCGCATAGTCCAGAACAATCCTTAGCTGTTATCTTGATAATCACTGAAACATCAGTAAACTTTCCTTCGTCACATTTATATCACCAGCAGTTCCTTAACATATCACCTTTGAACGGAAGTTTGTTCATTGGAACAACACTGGCATGACCAAACAATACATTTTCTGTGTCTTTCCTCGTTGACATTGTAGCATCTCTGTAGTAAAGTATGTAAGTAATCAGAGTATCTGAAAAGAGAGTGAGTTAGTTAATGTTTATAAATACTGCAGAGTACATAGATACAGTACATAAAACACTGCGCTGCGCTACTCAGTAATACAGATATATTCCAAAATTTCAGTCGCAAATGCTGTAGGCTGAACCTCAACCAATCAACTTCATATTTGGCACCGATTCTAAGATGTATATAATGAACAATGCCTGACGAGTGCAGCTTTGACCAAAATTTCAAGGCTCCCTACTGTGTATAGTCATTTAAAATATTATTATTTCATATTATAATTCCTTCACATAGCTAATATACACAATGTAATTTGGTGAGACCATCTCAGAAAAATTAGTCGGTTACAAACTCATCACATTTATTCATCTAGTTAAATGCAAAAAATAAAAAAGTGAATACTGCACAAAATTTCAGAAATCTTACCAATAACAGCGATGCCAAGCAGCCACAGGGGGAGCTGAATGATAGCTCTAAACATTATGTGTTGCAATCAACACGTCTTCACGAGCTTCGTGTGTTGCATGAGTGAGTAGGAAGTCCAGGTAGATTCGTTCAAGAGATTGACTCTAGCAAGAGCCGCTCCCCTTCCTACTCATTTCTCCAACACTGGAAGCTCCTGAAAATATGTTAATTGCATGACGAAAGGCCTAGAGCTGTCATTCAACTTCCCCTGTTGTTGTTTTGCGTCTTGCCTCGCGTGTTCGAGATACTGATAAACAATGATGTGATTTGCCATTTCACGTAAGGTTTGTTGGGTCGTATTTCTAAATGGTTGGACATCAACATATAGCGTATGTCTCTGTCTCTGTCCACACTACTGACATCTCCATATAAAACATACTGTCAGACTTATAGCTCACCCTTTAACCTTACACTAGCCACGTCTTAAAGTCTGCTGACCTTGCTACTTTCTCCATATAGTAGACAGGTTGAACTTGACATATTTCATCATGATGGACAATGAATTTGCTAGTTCCCATCCTTTCTATTCAGTTTGCTTTCCAACTCATTTTCTAGTTCTTGTCTCATAATTTTCTTTGAAAATTTTGAGAAGCAAACATTTTTTTCCACATTCTCTCTTTTCAATGCTAGCTTAACCGAGTCATCAATTTCATGGTCTGGAAACCCGAAGAATAAATCATTGTCCATTTTCATCTATATACCTCCGAACCTTAATTATTATGATGATTATTATTGCTGTTTTGTTATAAATTGTTATTGGTAGGATGGTTAATGAGGTTTAAATCCTATCAACCCCAGACAAGAATGATTTAACCCCTAAAGCAGGGATTATACCCTTAACATATATACGCTGGAGATATATACCTCTCAGTGTATTATTATTATTATTATTATTATTATTATTATTATTATTATTATTATTATTATTATTATTATTATTATAATTATTATTATTATTATTATTATTATTATTATTATTATTATTATAATTATTATTATTATTATTATTATTATTATTATTATTATTATTATTATCATTATTGTCATCATCAGTATTATATGCTCGAAGTGCTCAATACATAAGGGTCATAAAGGTGAGCCAGGTTCAATGCAAGGGAGGGGAGGGTAAGTCCAGTTCCTTGGATCAAGAACCTCTCAACACCATCAAGGAGCCTACCTCGAGGGGAGTGAAGTTCTGTATGAATCAAGGACTGACTGGAAGACGAATGTCTTGATTTTATTTCCGACTTTAGTGTTGACGGGTCCTTTAAAAGTTCATTTTATTACACTTGTGCCTTTTAAAGGAGGGATCCGAGGATTGTCTTAACCCTGAATGGATCTTGATGTAAGATACTGAAGTTAGCCTCACATGTTAAGATGTACGGCTCATTACCTTCCATTCCAACATTCCACAGGATATGTGTGAGCTCGAAGACATTAAGTACTTACCTACGAATGACACTACTACCACCACCACTAATACTACTATTGCTAGTACTACTACCACCACCAACACCACTTCTGCTACTACTACTACTACTATTAATACTAATAATAACCTTGAAGATGCTACAACAGGCGCGAGAGTTCCTCTCTTGTTTCTTGCTCGGATTCTGCAGCTGTGATAGCTTGGCAGCTCTGACACATAAATAAACAATGAGGAAAGCTGAAATAATATATATGTCATACCGAATAGGTAAAACTTGCGATTTTGGCTTAAATAGCAACGCTCTTCTTGCCGAATAAGGCAAGCAAAAAATGGTGTATGCAATAATTTCACAAAAATCCTACTGAATCTAACGAAAAATTATATTTCATTGTGTTTGTTTATTATTAAATTATTGTAAACTTATATAAAATATATTTAGTTGGATTAGGCTAAATTAAATTGCGTTTGTTATAATAAGGTCAGGTAAGTTTTCTAAGGTAATTTTCGTACAAAATCATTAATTTTTATATTAAAATAAATGAAAAAAATATATAAAAAATATATCTTTCAATGTATATGATGATATCGCAATATGCAAAACAAACACTGTGAAAGAATAGTGAACTTCTAAGTGATTTCTCACATTATTAAGAAACCTTCCAGGTGGGGAACACACAAGAAACCTTCCAGGTGGGGAACACACAAGAAACCTTCCAGGTGGGGAACACACAAGAAACCTTCCAGGTGGGGAACACACAAGAAACCTTCCAGGTGGGGAACACACAAGAGACCTTCCAGGTGGGGAACCCCACAAGAAACCTTCCAGGTGGGGAACACACAAGAAACCTTCCAGGTGGGGAACACACAAGAAACATTCCAGGTGGGGAACACACAAGAAACCTTCCAGGTGGGGAACACACAAGAAACCTTCCAGGTGGGGAACACACAAGAAACCTTCCAGGTGGGGAACACACAAGAAACCTTCCAGGTGGGGAAACACACAAGAAACCTTCCAGGTGGGGAACACACAAGAAACCTTCCAGCTGGGGAACACACAAGAAACCTTCCAGCTGGGGAACACACAAGAAACCTTCCAGGTGGGGAACACACAAG